AGAAGGTTATAAGCACTGCATGGGGGAGTGACCATAAAATCTGGCTGTTTTGGATCGCCACTGAGAGGTACCAGAAGAACTTTGAAGGCAGATAAAATTAATCAAGAGTTGCTTCTCCCAAAACAATGCGTTATCTGAATCTGGATTCTCTGTTTGGCCTTGAATAGGCCAGCTTATCTCAAATTTCTCCTGGACTGGAGGTTATGCAAACTAGAAGCTCTGCTTTGCTCCCCCCTCCCCTTCCTGCTCCCTTCCCGAGGACTTCTGTGAAACTGGATCAGAGCTGGCTGATAGACACTGTACAAACTCTTATCGGGACTATGGAACTTTCTGGCTGTGTTTATGGACAACTCACCATTTTTGTCAGCATACATCTCATAAATGTATCATGATGTCATTATGTGCAAGCTCTTTTTTTGTTTGACTCACACAATGTGCCAGGACATAGTGCGAGATATGTATTTTTATTTTTTTTTATCTCCCTTCCCCTTGTGTTTTCTCTTTTCCACACTTTTGTCTTTGTCTGTCTAAAACAGGTCTGACTTGTAAATGAGTCTCAGAGACTCAATGTGATTAATCTGAATAAATAAAGGTTGCAAAAAATGCATTCACATCTGTCTACCTACGCCACCGATCTTGCAAAGTACACCAATACACATACACATACACCAATAGAAAAACAGTCAACTTGTATGAGAATGATAGCCCCTGGCTACTTGCCTGCTACTTGCCTGATCCAAGAGCCCCCAGTGGCCCTCATAAATTCCTTTTATGAATTTATGCTCATGCATAAGCCAGTCCCTTTGTGACTGTTATCTTAATTTCCTTGCGTGGCGTTATTTTTTTCTTCAGAATATCTCCTGCATATTTTAAACCCATCCCTTTCCTAATGGCTTTTGTTCTCCTTCTTGACACGTACACTTTATGCCCGCACAGTGGATTTCTCAGGACCCTATTCTGGTAAAGGTCAGCCCCACCTGGTAACCTTATCGGAGGGCCCTCCGTGACCCCCCCCCCCCCCCATTGTCGATATAGTACCCAAAAAATGATCATTGAGATCCCCTGTCTCCCTAAAACAATCAAACAGTTGAATCAAACATTGCTAGGATCTCAAATCCTCCATAAACAATGTCTAATCAACAATTTGAGGATCACAGATCCTTATAAAATAATGATAAACATAATCTTTTCACCTCCTCCGTGCGTGGCGGCTCCATTCGTACCTTGTCACTGTGCCCAGATCCACCCTCAATTTGACCTCAAAAGCCATTCAAGCCAAAGGTCTTTCAAAAGGGAGGTCTGGTCTCCCCTCATGCATGATTCAGATCAATCCTGGTGGATCCGAGTCCAGATGTTGAGAGTTGGCTCAAGGACCAAAAATGTTGCATAATTAAATTGTCCTATCATCAACTCATTAAGCAAATACAGTAAGCCACACAAGGAAACTAGAATATATTTTCAACCCAGCTTTAATCTTGCAAGAGGAGCAGCAGTTGAATACTGAGATACAAGATGCTGCAGGATGCCCAGATCACAAGGTCTTTCCACAGACAGCATAAAGGAGCATCAACTTATAATACTTATCAGAAAAGGTGAGGTCAAGATAACTTTGCTTTCCAGCTTAGGGGCCTTGAAGCTTAGCAGGTGTGCAGTAGTGTTGTAGTACTCGAGACCGGTCTTGGTCTCGAGACCGGTCTCGAGACCACTTTTTGACGGTCTCGGTCTCGTCTCGGTCTCGACCGCATTTGGTCTCGGTCTTGTCACGGTCTCGGACATTGAGGTCTCGGGATTTTTTTTCAAGACCAGTCAAGACCACAACTGTGAAAATATCACTAAATTGCCAGAATATTGTCCAGTTTATTTGTTAACATCTTTGCTTTTACTGGATGCAAAACATACCGATTCAAATTCAAGCGATAACGTGACTCATAGCAGCTAGCTACATGTTTTTGTTACCACTCCAGTGTTGCCAGATTGGGTGGTTTACTGCCAATTGGCCAGTTTTCGTTCTGATTTTGCTGGGAACTCTGGGAAGATTTTTGTTGGACTGTTCCGTTTTGCCACATATTGTTAAATTACCTTGGCTTGTACTGATGTGGGTTTGTGTTCAAAAAGTAAATATACTGTAACAAATATAGATTGTGCAGGTTTTTGTGTGATGTTGCGGTTTTTAACCGATTTTTTACTGGAAAATCTCGACTCTATCTGGCAACACCGAGCCCACCTCCTTTCACTCGCAAGCGTCAGGGAAGAAAAGTTAGACTTGTTTGTGTTTAGAACAAGAGAAGATGTCTTCTAAATCTGCTGTTATAAAGTTTGGCTATTTGAGTCACAAAGAGCATCCAACTTTTATCGACACCTGGAAAGGAAGCACAAAGAAAGGTAAGCGCCGCAGCTTTGTGTAAGTGATGCTAGTAAAGCTAGCTAGTTAACGTTATCAATCTGCCTCTCTTCCAAGAACAATACAAACAGAACGTTTTATCAAGTATGGTTTATTTGTCATATGCAAAATCAACACAAGGTCGACAACAATGCAGTGAATTGCTTAGGACGAGAAAAACAGTCTTGACTCGCCAAAAACAAACAAAAAAATAACAACAACAAATACCAAAGCATGCATCACAAATACTAAAATAAGGGACAAAAAGTTGAAAAAGTAATTCATCGACATTAAATCTAAATACATCTAAATTAATTAATGTGTGTCAGACTCAGACCCGCTTTGTTTAGCCCTTAAATGAGTTTTACTTTATAACACTGATATAATTAACATATTAAGGGAAGTAAGCAAATTCACTGTTTACATACAGTTAAATCAGGTCCTCTGAGTGTGTGTTAAAAGAAAAAAGTAGAATATTATCTGCACAGCTTTTTTCTACCTTTTTTTTCTTTTAACACTCCCAGAGGACCTGATTTAACTTTTTTAAATTTTTCTACCTGGGTTATTGAGCATGCATAAGGACAAATTCACTGTTAACGTTGAGAGACTGAGGGGACAGGGCATGTGGTAACAAAATGTAGAAACGTTTCATCTTTCATCCAAAAGACTACTTGACTTCTTAACAAAAGACTTCATTGTAAGAGGGACTGTCTTCTTCTTACATCGCTGATATTGCTAGTATCACTCAGCCCCCTGTGAATAGCAAGCAACCATCAGGGTGCCAACGATTCATTGTTAGGCTGATGGTCTCCCTTAACATATTTGGCAAACTGGTTGATCCACTGTGAGAAGGTGCTAACTGTGTTTAATATGTCCTGATGCATGCTCAATCACACAGGTAGAAAAATCTTAAAAAGTTAAATCAGGTCCTCTGGGCGTGTTAAAAAAGTAAAAATAAAAGGTAGAAACATTTCGTCTTTCGTCCGAAAGACTTCCTCAGGCTGAGGAGCTGCATTCAGCTCAGCCCTATAAATAGTGCCTCCTCACAGTGGACCAACCGTTTGTTGTTGATGAAACTAGCTGCTCACATGTTCAAGGAGGACCATCAGCCTAATGATGGATTGTTAGTACCCTGATGGCTGCTTGCCTTCACCGGGGGCTGGGTGATACTAGCAATCACAGCATTGTAAGAGGGGGACAGTTGAACCCGGAGGCCTCCACCTCTGTTTAAAGATGGATGGTTTCTTTTCACAAAGATGGCCTCCTTTACTCCTCTCTCAAACCATCGTTCCTCTCTATCAAGGATGTGAACATCTTCATCCCTGAAAGAGTGACCGCTGGTCTGGAGATGAGTGTAAACCGCAGAGTCTTGGCCTGAAAATGTAGCTCTTGAGTTTAATATAGCTCCTCATATTGAAGAAGTCTTTTGGATGAAAGACAAAACATTTGTATAATTTTTTATTGTTTAAACCCATCCAGAGGACCCAATTTAACTTTGTTAGATTTTTCTAAGTTTAATTTTTGCTTATGATAAACAATGGAGGATATATTTGACATACATTTATGAAGTTGCTACTTATTTTTAAGTGTTCTTTTGATGTAATTGATGTTCATGACCAGATATACTGATTCCTCCTTTGCATTTTTTTAGGTTCCTGGAATACAAGGCAGGGCAACAGAATGATGTCACAGTCACACAGCCATCAATTTCATTATTTACGCAGAAAGTGCAGCTCTACAGCCCACAATCACCAAGGCAACAAGCCATCAGTCAAGCCGTTGTCCAAGATTTGATCATTGGGTGTTGTCTGCCTCTCTCACTTGTGGAAAACAGTCATTTTAAACACTTTCTTGAAGTTATGGATAGTAAATACACACCAATCTCTAGAAAAACGGTTTCTGATAGACAAATTCCAGAGTTGGTAATCAAGGTCAAGGAAACTGTTTTGGAGAAACTGAAGACCCAGTCATCTGTGTCATTAACAACTGACCTCTGGTCTGATCGCAGGCTACACTCCTTCCTTGGGGTGACCGCCCACGTGTGCTACAAATCAAAGGATTCCTATGCACTTGAATCCTACCTGCTGGACTGTAGGCGTTTCACAGGCAGACATACTGGAGAGCACATTGCGTCTGCCTTTGAGGAGATCACAGAGGAATACGGTATCATGACAAAATTAGCTATATCATAACAGACAATGCTGCCAATATGAAATGTGCTTTCAAAGTACACATGCCCCAATCTGATGATAGCGAGAGTGAAGAGGAGCATTTAGATGACGAGCACCTGTGGGAGGACATTAATTCTCAGGAAGACACCGAATTACCCTGGTCATCTGGTGCACGTCTTTCCTGCTTTGCACACTCTCTGCAATTAGTTGTGAATGACGGCATGAAGGAGGTCAAGGCCATTTCTCACACAATAGCCAAAACATCACGGTTCACCACCTTATTGCATAGCAGTTCACAATTCAAAGACAAGTTTGAGGCTACGTTTGGCACTAATAGGACCATTCCAGCTGCAAACACAACTCGATGGAACAGTATATTTAAACAAGTACAGGCCTTCACAGCTCTGGACCACAAAGCCCTGAATGAAGTGTGCAGCAAGGATCACGAGGAGTTGGTGTTTAGTGCCCGTGAGTGGAACCAGCTGAAGGAACTGAGTGCAGTTCTTGCTCCATTTTCTGAGGTAACAGACCTGACAGAAGGGGAGAAATCAGTTACCATTAGTATGGTGGTTCCAACTGTCCTGGACTTGAATACACACCTCCTCAAGATGGAGGACACTCGAATGCAGTGCCAGTCATTGGTCAGAGCCCTCCAGCAGTCTCTGGTGAAAAGATTTTCTGGAATCTTTTTAAAAACAAGCATGGCCAAAGACAGTGGAAGAGAGGAACCTTTTAACCACAATGTTTACTTCTTGGCCACCATGCTGGATCCTCAGTTTGGCTTAAGCTGGGTGGACTTAGATGTTACCAATGGGGGAAATTCAACATCAGTGAAAAAGTTCAGAGATGAGCTTAAGAAGACACTGACAGGTCAGTATATATTTTCTCTGCTGAAAATAAATGTCTTATTTGCAAAATCATAAATCCTAAAATATTTCAAATTAGTTGTCTATAAAAGCCTTAACTAGTCTTACAGTGGAATTCATAGTCTTCATTTCATCTGTTTACTTTTGTCATAAAAACATATTTTGTACACTCTGAGCCTATTGAAACAGATATTCTTTATATTTAGGCTGGTAACATGCCTATCGTACACAATCCTGACTCACTTTTATATTAAATGGGACTGTACTTATATAGCACCTTTCTATCTTATCAGACACTCAAAGCACTTTACATTACAATCTGTGCCTCATTTACACATTCATACGGCACTCTACTAGATCTCTACAAAGCTAATTGAACAAATCATTCAAAGGAGACTAATCAGAGCTTTATCACATTCATACACTGATGGGACGCACATCGGAGGCCCCTAATAAAAGGTCCTAAACGTATTTAATTCAACTCTGATATGTGCATATCCTTTTAAATCTAACTCGGTCATTGTGTTTGTGTTTTTCAGAAACATTGATCTTAGAGGTGGAGAAGATGATGGACATGAAAGAAGACACCTGCTCAGAAGTTGTGAATGTGGATCCAGCCGCAGCCAGTGATTCGCCACCAAACAAATACCCTCGCCTTCTGTCCCGCTACAAGGCATACAAAAAGCACAGCTCAGACCAGGATTCAAGCATACACACACAGATAAGGAAATACTTTGATGCCATCCGTGACTTTGACACAGACAATGCACTTGTCTTCTGGGCAAAAAACCACACTAGATTTCCACAACTGCACAATTTGGCAATGAAGGTCCTATCAGTCCCTGCCTCCTCTGCACCAGTGGAAAGGGTTTTCAGTCGAGGAGGCATTTTAATGAGACCCCATCGTGCACGTTTAGGCCACAGAATGTTGCAATCACTCATATTTCTTAAATGCAATGAAACACTTCTTTAAACTCCAATAATCAGTTAGTCATCTGGACAGTTTTTTTTTTTTTGTGGAAAGACTGACGTTTTGCCCTCCGGGGGCTGTCCTCTCCCCCGTCGACTCCTTCCAAAATGCAGCCACAGCCAAAGTGGGATTTTTTTTAAGTAGTTATGCATCGGGCAAACTTTGTGTTGCTTTGTATAGCTGCAACGTTGAAATTGATTAGCCTCGTGGTTTTCTTTCTGTAGTAGTTTTTGTTCACATTCCTGGCTGCCTGCAGTGCAGTTATTTCTCTGAAACTTTATGAATATGAATAAGCTACTAAGTTTTCTTGGGTGATTTTTATGATACTGTGTTTTTTTTCTTAATGTGCCTTGGATCATACAATGGAAGATCCCCAAGCAAATACACAAGTCTAAATGAAAATTAAACAATTTTAGAAAGTAACCGACTTCAAGTTTCCAATTTAATCCTAAAGACTGCATTTATACTGCCCAGTATTTCATGTTGACTTCAAGAGACCAAAAGAAGGTAAATGCATCTTGAGTTTTGTTTTATTAGGATCAAAATGGGTCACTTAAATTAGAGTTTAAATAAATTAAAGTAAGCATGCACAAGTTGTGTACAAAAGACATTGCAGTACAAAATTCATTTCACAAACAACACTGTTTAAAAACGTAAAAACATTACTGTCTGGTAAAATCATCAGTTTTGACACATTAAAAAGGCTCATAACTTTATAAAAATATTTTATAATAACATTTTATTTATTTTTTTATTTTATTTGTGGATTTGGTCTCGAATTGGTCTCGCCCTCCCTCGGTCTTGGTCTTGTCTTGGTCTCGGACCCTAAAAGTCTTGGTCTTGTCTTGGTCTCGGACCCTAAAAGTCTTGGTCTTGTCTCGGTCTCGGTACACTCTGGTCTTGACTTGTCTTGGTCTCGGGTTAGGTGGTCTTGACCACAACACTAGTGTGCAGGCTCCACTTTGTTCAGACAAAACAACTCTAACTTACACACATGGTTCTATATTAATTTGGCATTAGTAAGTGAAAAACATCCATGACCTTTACATAATTTTCCCCCATCATTTATTATAACCTATAGCTTGTTCTTCTGTTGTGACCCCTAAAAAAAACAAGTGGCTGAGTGAAGAAGAAGAAACAAAAAATCTGGAGTTTGCTTTTGCTATGATGTAAAAATATTGATTTTGCATTTTGGGCATGATTAAAAAAATATTATTACTGTATCACCTGTCAGCACCCTGACACTGCCATGTGTTGCTAAGCCACGTGCAGATTTAAGTATATGTATGTACCACTTGTATAGCACAGTGTCTGTGGTGTGTGGGCTGCTTTCAAGATGCAACAACAAAGCTGCTGAAGACAGAGTGCCAGAACTCTCAATATGGCAACTTTTCTCATCGAAGGGTGTTACTTGAATACGTGGAAAATTATGGGGAAGAAATGCAAGAAAGGAAGAAAAGAGACAAGAAACAAAAAACAAACAAACAAAAGATTTTCAGGGTGACCTTGGGACACAGTCACTGTGAAATGACATCCACGGCATTTTAACCAAGAACAACTATTCTGAAGAAGGAAAAAAAGAACATTTATGGCAAAGGGCTTCAAATCCCACCTCTAATAATTTAATTAATATTTATCAAGAGTAAAAAATTGATGTGTACTGTATTATTTTTATCAATCTATGCCCCGAAACACTGTAAAGTTGCAGATTATTGTTTGCTGAGTGAGCTTATTGTATGATGTAAGAAAAAAGATGGTTACAGGTGAATTACTGTTTTCATTTAATAAGGTGAAGAGACTAATATAAAGAAAGGGTTTGAATAAAATACTAGTTGTTTTTTTGTTTTTTCCCCTAGATTTTTTACAGGTGGAAGCAACTACTCCCCATGGACGTTTAATATTTCATGAGAACTTTATTTTGGAGGCTGTAATGCCTTTAAAAGCATCCATGGAAAAAAGGCTTTCGTGCGCATTGCTTTTGCTTTTGCTTTGTGATTAAAAGGAGAAGAAAAAAATGCTGACAATTCACTGAGCAAATATTCAAAACATTGAGAAGTAGCATCCTGATGCATTCTCAACAATCCAGGTAGACAAATCTAAAAAAGTTAAATCTGGTCCTCTGGACATTCAAAAAACAAAACAAAGCAAAACAACAAAAAAATGTAGAAACGTTTCATCTCTCATCCGAAAGACTTCCTCAGTCTGAGGTGCTGTATTCAGCTCAGTCTTATAAAAAGCACCTTCTCAGAGTGGATCAACCAGTTTTGCTGCTGACAACCAAAACCAGCTGCTCACATGGTCAAGAAGGACCATCGGCCTAACAATGGATCATTAGCACACTGACGGCTGTTTACTATTCACAGAGGGCTGAGTGATACTAGCAATAACAACATTGTAAGAGGGGGACAATTGAACATGTAGGCCTCCACCCCTGTTTAATGATGGACGATTTCTTTTCACAAACATGGCCTCCTTTACTCCTCTCTCAAACCATCGTTCCTCTCTGTCCAGGATGTGAACATCTTCATCCTTGAAAGAGTGACCGCTGGCCTGGAGATGAGTGTAGACCACAGAATCCTGGCCTGATGTTGTTGCTCTTCTGTGCTGGTCCATCCTTTTGGCCAGTGGCTGTTTAGTTTCCCCGATGTAAGACTGATCACAGCCCTACTGACACTGAACAGCATACACAACATTACTCTGTTTGTGCCGGGGGACTGGATCTTTGGGATGAACCAGTCTTTGCCGTAATGTATTTTGGGGTTTAAAAGCCACTGGGACGTTGTGTTTAGAAAATAAACGTCTCAGTTTCTCTGATACTCCCTCAACATATGGAATGACCACTGGTCTGGGTTCCTCCTTTTCACCTGATGGCTGACTGGAGTCCTGTTTGAGTTTCTTCTCTGCTTTCAGGAAGGCACAGTTAGGATATTCATATTGCTCTAGATCCTGTCTTGTGTGGGATTTCTCCTTCTGCCTGGCTCCTGAGTTAGTGGGGATGCTGTCTGCTCTGTGGCATTGCTGTGGACAGAACACAACTTTCATGTCAAAGTAAAACTGAATCATTTCGAGTCAGCGTTTTCTGTATTGTTTGGCCTTGAGCTATTAGTGATTGATATGTCTAACAGAATTAATTTTCAAAAAGTGCAGAAGTGTGACAGTGGATGAGCCTTGTTCATAGCCTGAAAGCCTTGAGCCTCTTACTACTGTAGTCAAAAGACAAAAGCTTTTCACATCAAATCAGTTCAAAAGACCGTTACTGACAAAATCTATCTGTGACAATGACAAAAGTAGAATAGCTATTGCATTTTGCTGACACCAAAAATTTTCTGTTAGTAAAATCAAGGTAAAATGAAATGAATGTCACAAATATCAAAGAGTAAACAAAATTTTATCCCAACTACCATATCCACTTGAAACATGTCGACCGTGTCCTAAAAAGTTCAATCTGGTCCTCTGGACATTCAAAAAAACAAAACAAAGCAAAAAATATATAGAAACGTTTCGTCTCTCATCCGAGAGACTTCCTCAGTCTGAGGTATTGTATTCAGCTCAGTCTCTTAAATAGCACTGTCTCAGAGTGGATCAACCAGTTTGCTGCTGACAACCAAAACCAGCTGCTCACATGGTCAAGAAGGACCATCAGCCTAACAATGGATCATTAGCACACTGATGGCTGTTTACTATTCACAGGGGGTTGAGTGATACTAGCAATAACAACATTGTAAGAGGGGGACAGTTGAACCCGGAGGCCTCCACCCCTGTTTAATGATGGACGATTTCTTTTCACAAAGATGGCCTCCTTTACCTGGCCATCTTCAGGCCATCACAGTATATTAGTTCACTTCTTCTACTGCTTTCAGCTTTTTCCTCCAAGCTATAGGGCAAGATATCAAAAAGTTAGGACCTTCGTTTAAATGCCACTTGTGTAACGCTTTGTCTCAGAATAGCAGGTATATTGGTATAAAGTTTATTCTTTTAAAAAAAGTACAAAACAATTCCATAACAATATAAAAAAGATACATGAGATTTAAAATGAAAGGCAGCAGAAAGAAGAAAAAATCTTATATCTGCCCCTTTTTTCAAACAATTAGTTCAATCATAATAATTTTCAAGTAACTGAACAAAATGAATAACTCTTTCTAATTTTTCTAATTCTAATACAAAAACACACTAAGCTACTTCATATATATTTTTTAAACAATTCAGCTTTGATCTTTTTCTTAAACGTACAAATTGACTTGGCATTTTTCACATCACTCTCTAGACCATTCCACAATCCAATTCCTTGGATTGAGGTAGACCTTCCCTTCAGACTAGTTCTGAATTTTGGTTTGACAAATATCTCTATCCCCTTAAGATTATAACAACTTTGTCTTTTAACAAAATTTCTTTGAATATTTAATGGTAATGTGTTATTTTGAGCCCTATACATAACTGATAAAATACTATAATCTACCAAATCATGGAACTTCAATAACTTCAGTTGATAAAATAATGTGCTTGATGGGTGACTGTAATGCTTTCTAGTGATGATTCTTACAGCTTTTTTCTGTAAAATAAAAATAGGTTTTGTAAATGTTTTACACGTTTTCCACCAAACATCAATGCAATAGATTAAATGTGGAACAATAATTGTGTTTTATAACATGTACAGAGCTTTATCATTTAATAATTCCCTGACTTTGTATAGTACTGCAATAGATTTAGATATTTTTATTCTTACAGAATTTATGTGATTTTTCCATCTTAGCTGTTCATCAATGATTACACCCCAAAATTTCATCTCATTAACTCTACAAATCTCAACACACTCAATTTTAATTGGATCATCAACAGTTTTCTTTTTGTTACTAAATAGCATGTATTTAGTTTTATCTAAATTTAATGATAATTTATTAATTTTAAACCAAGTTTGTATTTTATCAAATTATGTCTTCATCAATTCCAACATCTGTTTTACATCTTTACCCAAACAAACAAAAAAAAAAAAGTAGTGTCATCTGCAAAAAGGAC